AGGTTTCTCTAGGTGGTTGCATAAGGAAAAATCTGGAAATGATCTTAGAGTCAAAGTCGGTGATGTCTTCTTCATCTATTTATATTAGGTCACCTAGCTTCCTACCCTAAAAAAAGGAATCCATTTTTCAGAATTTGAGAGACAAAATGCTGAGATAAGTGAGATCTTGGTCATAAACTCTAGTTAAAATCTGAAGCGGCCATACAGAGGGTGAACCACTATAAATCTGTGTATTCTATAATCGTTTTATAATCTCTCTTTTGCTTATCATTGCTCTCGGAGTTGTAATAGATTATGATTACTTTTGCTGATTTTATATTTTAAGGAGGATCGTCTTCTGGATTAATTGTCGGTGTTTTGCTGTTGGGTTTGGTATCTTTTTTGCTGCTGGTGTTGTTCTTATTCCTTTCTGTTGGAATCACGTGTGGGAAGCTACTTCAATACCAAGAATTACACAAAGAAGGCCAAAAGTTTCACTGGTATGGAGAGCTCATTCGGGCGACCCTAGGTCCAGGTAAAAGAGGCCAATGGACATGGAAGAACCAGTCAAGTTCCAAGTATTTAACCACATTGGGTCCTCTATTTGAGGATCTGAGGGGTCCCCCGAAGTACATGCTTTCTCAGATCACTATAGGCAATCTAAATAAACCAAGCAATAGAATCATTGCCTCGGATGATGAAACAGAAGACGCGGAAGCACCTTTCATTCAAAAGGTATTTGGAATTCTTAGAATATACTACACACTGCTCGAATGTGTGAAACGTGTTGCACTGGGAGTTATGGCCGGTGCCTATTCAAAGAAGTGGTCGTATAGAACCCCGACTATCACCCTACTTTGCATAACCTCGTTTCAACTCTTCTTCATGGTTCTTAAGAAGCCTTTCATAAAGAAAAAGGTCCAATTGGTTGAGATAATTTCAGTCGCTAGTGAAGTTGCTATTTTCACTTTCTGCATAGTTCTCTTGGAGAAAGATTTTTCGACTGAAGACGAGAGGAAAATCGGGATCTCACTGGTTTCGATCTTCATGTTCTCATTTCTAGTCGAAATGGTGAATGAATGGTATGCATTATACAGACAGACAAAGCAACTGGATCCTACAAACAGCTCTTTCTTGCATGGTTTGGGAATAGCTACACTTGGCTTCCTCTCATTATTCTGTCCTCAAAATTTTATCAAGAACAGTAGATTGGAGGTAAATAACCCGTGTGAAACAGTAGAAACTACTTCTTCGACAGACAGAAATTTGACCTCAGGTAGTGGAAGCTCGGGAGATAAGCCATGGCTAAGGCATATAAGAGAACTAGCAAAGGCAAGCTTTAGCAAAGAAGGAAGCCAGGATAATCCGAAGGATCCTTCCACGAGCAAGAACAAATGGAGTGGATTTTTGAAAAAGAGTGGAAGCCCGTCTGCTTCTACATCAGCAGATTTCAAGGCAAAACCGAAGGGATTGTACAGAGAGTTGGAAGCCATTTTTGCATCAAAGTAAGAAACCTGATACAATGATAGCAAAATTCTCAGCCATTTGTTTGCTCGACTATCATTTTAGAGTAATGAGATCAGTAGCCATTTAAGCAGCTAACAGAAGCACACTGCATAGTATATGTGATGCCATGTTTGTACAGCGGACAGCCTCTGATATAATCACATTTTGATTTTGTATATTAATATATGAAGCAAACTAGCATAGGCTACTTTGATTCTCCATTGTCGTATTTGCTGAAATCGCTGGTTAGGGTCGGCTGCATAAATCCTATTGAACGGGAACGAGATAATATACACATCTTAATTCTTAGGTACACATGGCCGTACTACGCATGATCATTTGATGGAAGAGTACTACATGCGCATACATGTGATTTATAACAAGGGCACATGACCCTCGATTTGATCCTTGGCATAGGTGTGTTCGTTGTAGAATGAACCCCAACTGAAAATGGCCAGGTTGAGCACCTATCCCTTGCGGGAATCATACAAGTGTCTTCAACAGGAAAAGACGATGTCCTAACCGTATGTATGATTAGAGTAAGTAGTTTCTCTTTGTGAAAATAACAAATAAACACAAAGTCACATAGCTGAAGGCCTTAATTGAACTTTCCAGAGTGATTTATATACGTTAAGCATCTACAACATCTGACTGATTTACATATAGCACGCAAGTTTCTACAAAATCTGAGAAAGCCTCTCTTTGTCTGATATAATGAGTCTTTTTTACCGGATCATCTGCTTCATGCACCACAAAATACAAAAGGAGATTGAGAACAATAAATTTCAAACATCAGAAAGACTTGAAACTTCAATGTCATCCGCCTGGCAAATCAAGTGTACTGTTTATCCAGTTGTGCACCATGAATGATGAATTTGCACGACTCTGACCATTAAAAGTTGTTTGCTCTTGACATTTATGCAGAGATTGGAGTACCTGTCAGTGCTTCTTCTTTGACCTTCTCAAAGAGACAACAGTAGATATTACCTTCAGTTAATGTTTGGCTACGTTTTTCCACACAAAAAAAAATATAAGTTACTTTAGTTTTTGGTTTCCAAAACCACAAAAGAAGCTCTTAGTCTCTTACTAAGATCATTCTCTTACATTTGAGATATCTTTCCACAAATTCAAGGTCCTGATTGCTTTGCCCGATAGATGTGTTTTACGAGCCAGATCCACTCCTTCTCCCAGATTGTTTACATGTCCACTAACCAAGAGCGCTGCTGCTGCATTTAGCACCTGTGGAGTGTATTTAGGAAGAGCAGTGATAGAATCGAGAATGGACTAAAAGGAAAGTTTCATATTGAAATCCAGATCTATTATTTGTAAATATCAAGGTAACCAGTGCAGTTCCTAAAAAGAAAACATTTTGATGCCTCCAATTCATCAACCGTATCTTATAACCAACAAATAGACCAGATTACGGTGGACGAAAACTAAGATGGCCTGTTGTAACTTGTAATTGCTAAGGAACTAGTTGGTTTGAGGTTTTCCAACGAATCCAGCATTGAACCGAAGAGAGTGAAGAAAAATGATTCATGTAGCCAACTCCACATTTATGGGGAACAAGGCTATGTTTGATATTGTAGAAAGGAAAAGAAAAAATATTACCAAGGCATCAGCAGTCGACCCTTTTTCTCCTGATAGTACACGCTTTAGTACATCAGCGTTGTACTCGGGACCTCCACCTTGCAGATCATCCAGAGTGCATCGTGGCATCCCAAAGTCCACTAACAGAAAACAGACTACGTCAGCATAAAATTCTGCTATAACTTTTAACGCCTACAAAAATGATAAGAACATTGCAATAGATAATTTATGATTTCCTAATACCCAAACAAACAATTGATAATTATTTGTATGACAATGGAATTGAAGACTCGAGTACATAAAAATTAATAAAACGAAATCACGATTTCGTCATTTTAGGAGGAAGATACTTACATGGATCAACCGAGAAACTTTCTATCTTGTCTGACGTGACATCAAGGACTAGTCCAGGCCCTGTTTACATTCATCAAGGGAATTAGAGCACCAAAGATAGTATTGGATGGATCAGATTCATTATGAAAATGACATGCAGTCATTTACAATGTTGCATGCTTGTAATTTGCTACAACAGAATGGGTATCTTACCAAGGGGACTCATCTCATCCAGTCCCTCAGAGTGAACTACTAATGCCCTTTTCATGCCAAACCTTTGGAGTGCTTTAGCCATTTTATGAACCTAGCACCATGGACAGAAAAATTTACTTGCAGACACAAGGAAATAGACTATAGCACCAATGAAACATATCAGAGCACTACCCATTATTTAGCCGTGTTAGGAATATTGGGCCTAACTCCAACTAATAAAACCGG